AAAAAAAAAAAAAAAAACTATCTAGAATGATCTTTACATCACTTAAAACAAAAACATGAGGAATTATTGTTTGGCAGGAAAGTAGGCGTGATAAAAAGGACATGTGACAGGCGATTTTATTCCTGACAGTTAATGAGAAATTATTTGGAAAAATGAGCGGGAAACTCACTAGGTGTTCGACATCTGACATCAGACCATTCAGAAAAGCAACGAGCACGAATTCACTCTTAGATCGAGTCACCGAGACTCGACCAGAGTGGGGGGACTAGATGATATAGGATATTATACCCACAAGGATAAACCGGTCCGATGACCGGTCGGAAAGGTCATACCGCGAGGGAGCCAAGTCGAAATCGACCAATCAACCAGTCGACCAGCCAAGCAGTCGACCAACCTATCCTTCGACCAGATGAACGGTCGAGCAGCTCAGTCGACCTCGATCGGTCGACCACTTCACGGACTTAACACTTCACAGATTGGCCTAGTTACAGGCGCGTGAAAGAGCCTCTAACGGAATTTCAAGAGAATATTCATCCCATGTGCAGGAGGACACGTGTCGTAACACATTGGTTGACAGCAACAACCACCTCTGACAGCTTACCCCATGTGCAGGAGGACACGCGCCCAAAGAGTATTGGTGCAGACGATAGTGGCGACGGCTACCTCTGACACACGCGTATTGTGTGTACGGACGGGCAATTAGGGCAGACAACTCACCAAATCCAGGCAGCCCTAGGTCAGGTATCTCACCTCTATACAAAGGGGGTGAGCCTTTCTTCTTCAACACGATCATTCGATTACTCACTCTTGAGAATTGATTGAATATACACTGACTTAAGCTTCGGAGGCTCTTCACCGGAAAACCCCTCCGGTGTAAGAGTTCTTTGTAGGTGCACGACGTTCAACCAGCGAGAAGGAAGACGATTATTCGAGTTCCAGACGGTCGGGAAGTTTTGTGTTACCACCGTTATACTTGCCTAACAACAACCGAACCGTAAAACAATACCTCTTTGTGAGGGTAAAAATCATGAACATATACATACTTCAATGCACAAATTTCATTCATGGGGCCTGCTGATCTTCAGTACAAAATAGCCAGAAATTAATTTATTTCTTATTATCATTGATATATTTATTTATTATCATTTCAACCATTATTTTGCCTAACATTCAAGATTCAACCATTGGTATTATTTGTATCAAAGGTCATCACTCTTTGAGTTTGAAACATCAAACAGACTCAGCAAAACTGAGGCTTCCATGCACTGTATCAATGTAGGAACTGCTGCACTGTATGGGCAGCTCTCTGAAAAACCAACTTTCCCAGAATTCCCCACTTTTATTACACACTTTTTGCACTTCTCATGACATTCAATATTTGTCACACCTGATAAAATAAAACAACACACCACAAAAATCTGAAATATAATCCAAAAAAAAAAACCGAAAACAAGAAGAGAGTCGAAAGTTGCGGTTTTTCGAAACAAGATTTTGTTATGTCATGAAAGTTTAGATCAAGTTTATTGAAAAAAAAAAACTGAATAATTAAGCAACTTTGTACAATGTAGATGAAAACTAGCAAGATTCTTTTTTTTTTTTTTAAATAAAAATGGATAAAATAAAACAAATACCATATTTTTCGACACATTCATCGTGCGCTTGGCAACAAGCATCAAGATCGTCGCAAGGTTTCTCCCCCGGACATCCGGACCACCCTAGCCCACAGTACTTTCCGTATTTCATCCCGAGCGCTGTAAATTTTGATCGGTTAAATATTTTAAAAAGTAAAAAAACACAATATTGATAAAATGAGAAGAACAAGTTTGAGTTGAAATTGTAATCAATAAAAAAACAAGAAGAATCATAAGCATAAGAACGACCAACCGCTGCAGTCTTCCGCAACGCATTTTCTGCTGCATATAAACTAGACAAGATTCGAACCGAACGAAAAAACAAAAAACAAAAAAAAAAGACATTAAATTTGATTGTGTTCTTAATCTTATAAGTGATTTTAAGTAAAGAGTTACTGGAAAGTAGAGATCGAACCTGAGGCTCGACCGAGGACTCGATGAAGCCGGAAACAGAGAGGATGATCAAAATGAAGACTGCAGCTCTATGGATTTGGACCACATTGTGTTTTGGGAGCATTTTTTTTTTAAAAAAAAATTTTTATGTAAGTGAGGTGTAATAAATTATTCCTTAGTTTTCTACTTTGGCTTTGCTGCTGTGTATTTATTTATGCTTTTATGGAATATGGTGTGGACTGGTAGTTTTCTGGGTTTGAATTTCAGTTAGCTTTTAATGGTGGCAAACTTGGAAAAAAAGGGGAAAAAAAAGCAAAAGCATCCTTGTCATTCTTTGCTATCTGTGTGTGACAGTGTGAGGTATTTGGATATTTTTTTATTTTTTTTTTCTTCTTCTTCTAGAAAATGTGTGTCATATAATCTTTTGGTGGTTAGTTTTTACTAAAATTAAATAAAATGTATTGTATTGTGAAAAAAATTTAAAAAAGTATCAAGTATACTATGGAATAATAATTTGAAATACTATGATAAAAGAAATGTACACTCTTTTAACAGATTCTATGGAATAATAATATGAATTATTCATCCAGAATATAACCTTTTTTCTTTGCATTTTTTTATTTTTGTATAATTTGATTATTTTAATTTTACCAATTGACCATTGTTTTGAGACCTGGGCCGGCCCGGCCCGGTGGGTCGACCCGGAGCTGAAACCGGTCCGGGTGGGCTATTTAGACCGAGTAGCAATGGACCTGGTCAACCCAGCCTTCACCAGGTCGACCCGGTCGGGTCAACCCAGTTGACCCGGTTTCTATAATTTTTTTATTTTTTTTTTATATAAAAAATAAATACTATGTTTATATAATGACATGGTAAATATTTATTGCAAGATTCAATATTTTTAGCACTTAAATGTATAAATTTTGTATATAAAATAATTATTTTTGTTACTTTTATGTATATTTATTTCTCAAAAATACTATATATATAATTTTAAAAATTTTAAAATTAATTATCCGGTTCAGCAATTGCCCCGATAATCCAGCGGTTGAATCGGTGACTCGGTAACCCAGAGACCTGCCCGGGTCGATTTCCGAGCCGGGTTTAAAAACTATGGTCCCCAAAAAAAAAAAAAAAAATTGCTTTCATAGCCAAGTAAAACAGTCGCATCAAATAAAGCAGTTATGGTTGATTAATGAATCAGAACAAAACGGGGAAAATTCTACTAAAAGGCCTAATTTTTAGTAATTGTATTAATTTAAGGCCTGAATTTTTTACTTTTCCAATAGAAGACTTACATTTTAAGTTATTCTCACTTTAAGACTTACATTTTAGTTAACTTTTCCTTATAAGGCCCAACTAATTTTACCTTTTCATATAAATATGTAAAACAACTATCATGTGATAATTATTACTACTACTATTATTATTATTATTATTATTATTATTATTATTATTATTATTATTATTATTATTATTATTATTATGTAATTTATATTTTTCATACTTATAATAAAAAATAATAAATATCTTTAGTAAAATTTATTAATAAAAAATAATTTTAACATTTTTTTAAACAAAAATTGATACTATGTCATTGCTTGTTGAAAATGATATATTTTTATAGATTGCATTTATATATTATTTTTTAGTTTTATTACATATTTACATTATTAATATAAATACTATTTCCTTTACATATTTTTTGAATTTACTAAAAAATATAAATTACAAAATAATAATAATAATAATAATATTTTATTCACATTATAGTTTTTTTACATATTTATATGAAAAGGTAAAGTTAGTTGGGTCTTATAATGCAAAGCTAACTAAAATGTAAGCCTTAAAGTGAGAATAACTTAAAATGTAAGCCTTCTATTGAAAAAATAAAAAATTCAGGCCTTATATTAATACAATTACTAAAAGTTATGCCTTCTATTAGAAAGCAAAAATCTCCATTCTCAAAAGCAAAAATTATCACCACATTCAGTAATTATCACTACATTTTCTTCCTCCTTCTTCATCCTCGATCCATTTTGAGCCACCCCCAAATCTCCATTCTCAAAAGCAAAAATTAAGGTAAACCGATTCATTCTCCCAGCTCGATCAAGATTAGAGGAAGTGATTTCAAGCGTGCAGCTATTTTTTTGCCAAATTTTCTCTGTTTTTTCGAATTGTTTTGATGCCCCAAAATGGCCAAAAAAAAGTTCTAACTGTGCCTGTTTAATTTCTTTTTTTTTTTTTTTTAGGTATTTGCAGTTTTTAATGTGTAATTTCTGATGATGGGATTTTGTTTCTCCTGATTTTTTTTCAACCATTTTCGAGTTTCGTGTTGCCATGTGAAGAGAAAAAAAAAATCACCAAAGATTAGATTTTTTTGCGAGCCCAGATGATGAATGCTAGCTATATGTCTGATTATTGTGATTGATTTGATTATCTTGATGGAATTAATTCTGGGATTTTGGTAAATGATTTGTAGGGACATCCGTTTGATTATCAAGAAAATTGGGCAAAGTTTTAGTTGACGATAGGATTGTGAAACCGGAGCAATGAACGGCGGCCAGCCGTATGCCCTGGGGAGACCAATCTCAGGTGAGCATTTAGAAAATTGTGAGATGGGTTTTTCTTTTTATCGAGTTAGCTGTGCTTCTAAATGTTTTCAATTGAACTTTCCTGCTCTCGGTTAAGCATTTAGAAAATTGTGAGATGGGTTTTTCCTTTCTCGAGTTAGTTGTGTTTCTAATTGCTTTCGATTGAATTTTCCTGCCTTAATGTTTATCGAGCGACGTGTCTCCCCGTTTAGAGTACCATGCTGAAGTCCTGACTAAAAAATTTCAACTTCTGTTAGCTCTACTGTTTTGTTTTCATTGTTTTTTTAGTCTTGTTAGGAATGAATGATTAAAAATAGTAAAATTTGCCGTTTGTATTATGCATTCTGTTGAATCATAAGTTTTTCTGCATTGTGCATTATATATGGCTTTATATATATGGCTTTATATACATGTTTGAGTTTTGTTTGTTCCGATCACTGAGTCTCTGGTTTATGAAATTTGTACAGGTAAAAGGAGATTGAAAAAGCTTATGGTTCAACTTGATAATCGTGTATGTGCAGATTGTGGTGCTCCAGATCCGAAATGGGCGTAAGTTTTCACCACTTGTTTTTCTCCCTTCTCTTTATCTTTTCTGAAATTATACTAGTTTATTACTAGTTAAAAGGAGAAACAAATATATATGTTTGGTATCATTATCATTGGTTGGTTATTTACACTGCTGTGAACAAAGATTCGGGTGAGATGCATACAAATACTTATTGTTAATACCGTGTGGAATACACTGCACACATTTTCAAATTTCAACATATTAGATATCTATTTAGGCTAATGTTATGATATAATGAGAACTTCTAGGACTGCAATTAAAATCATAAACTAAAAGATTGATCAATCTTTTTTTCTAAATTATATTTCCTTATTTTCAGATCAGCCAATATTGGAGTGTTTTTGTGCTTGAAGTGCTGTGGTGTCCACAGAAGCCTCGGCACACATGTTTCTAAGGTAATTTACATCCCTTTGTCTTATTTTTGCTGCACTGGAATATTCTAAGACTTGTAACCATAAATTTCTTTTTTTTTTAAAAAAAAAAAAAAATTCTTTGTCTAATTACATTTATTTACGGCAAGTTCGTCAATAATTGCAGGTCTTGTCTGTGACGTTAGACGAATGGTCTGACGATGAAATTGAAGCCATGTTTGAAGTCGGTGGAAATGCATCTGCAAATTCTATTTACGAGGCTTATCTTCCTGAAGGAGTGTCCAAGCCAAAACCGGATGCGTCCCATGAAGAACGATTAAAATTTATCAGGTTAGGCCAAATTATTGTTCATTTTTCTTCTTTTGTGGTTCACTAATCACACATATGTGTACATTACCTGACTTGCAGCATTAGGGTGTGATTGGATATGAATTTGATTGTTTTTTTTTTTTTT